AAACTCCATAGAAATGAGGCAAATTTACATTCTAGAATAAATTGATGGGATCCTGTTTGTATGTTTAAATAATTTTTTCTTTTTCTTTTTGTTTTGTGTCAAACCTAATGTGATTATTTTTTTTTAAATCAGGAATTAGCGCTTATTATTTGTTTATATAAATGTTGTAGGCCTAACACTGGTGTAAAGCCATGGGAGGGGCTGTTAAAGGACTTAAAAAAGGCAAATGGAAGGAGTAGATGGGCGGACAGGGATGAACATGCTTACTGGAAGGGATCCATAATGTCCGCAGACAGGATGGACTTGGTCAAGTGCAACGATTCAGACAAAGAGGATTGGAATGCTCGTATTTACGTAGTGGTAACAAAGCTTCATAAATTTCTCTACATACAAGTGGTGGCGGAATTTGGAATTTTCGCTAATTTGCAGCATATATATATAAACTCTCCTTCTTATAAGTGATTAAGAGGAAGTTATTTAGTAAGGATGTGTTTGATAAAATTGAAGTTTGAAAGTTGAAATTTGAAGTTTTAAATCTGAAATTTGAAATCAGAATCTATTAAATCAGTGAATTATTAAGTACAAAATTTGATACATTTAAGTAAATATCATTTATTTTTTAGAGAAAAGTTTGCCTAAAAAATTCAGCGCCACTTAATGAATTTAGATGTTCTAGTTTTGGTTATCAAATACGTAGATTTGAACCAATTATGTTTAAGTGTTGAATTGAATTATCAAACAGGTCTAAATAAATAGATGATGCGCTAATCCTCCTTCAAAAGCGATGAAGCAGGACCTTGATTGCCAGGCTAAATACTAAAGTAAAGTACTCTTAAATAAAACTAACACATCCATTTTTTTTTTTTTTTTTTTTTAAAAGGAAATCGCATTGGAGTTAAGGTAACAGATAGAGTAATCTTGTTCTAGTTGTGAACGATTCATCATCTTCTTCATTAATTAGAGGTTCATGTTTAAAAGATTTTTGCAGGATTGGGGTCAAGAATCGAAGCAAGGTTTCAAAGGAGCGAGTTTTGCAAATCAATGTCGCCACAGGTATATTACAGCTTCATGTGCAAGCAGTGCTGGTACTCAAAGAGTTTTGCAGATCAGTGTATGCTGTTCTAAAATTTTGGAAGTGGCTGCTGGGACTTTGTCCCTGTATTATATTGTGAATGCTAAAAGTAAAATGCTCAGCGCAAGTATTGATTTGTCTCCTCCGTTGCTCGAACCATGCATGCAGATATAAAATCTACATGGAAGGAATTGGGTGGTCAGTAAGTGAAAAATACATTCTTGCCTGTGATTCTGTTACTTTACGAGTGAGTCCCCGTTACTACACCTTCTTCTCCAGAGGTTTGATGCCTTTGCAACACTACTGGCCTATAAGAGGTAATGACAAGTGCAGGTCTATCAAGTATGCTGTTGAATGGGGCAACCACCGCAAGGATGAAGTAATTTAATCTCTCCTTTAATCCATTCTCAACTTCTCCTATGCGAATGTTTTCAGATATTCAACTCATAAGATAGTTTATTAAACTTAAAAAAAAAAAAAAAACTACTTCCAATCACGCTTGCACCAGTGCAGGCACAGTCCATGGGCAAGGCAGCTGGCAAATTCGTTCAAGAAGAAATGAAAATGGAAAACGTGTACGATTACTACGGTCCGTTTGTTTCAGGTGAAAATGTTTTCCAGGAAAATATTTTCCTAATTTCCCGTGTTTGGTTGCACAAAAGTTACTGAAAACATTTTCCTATGTAAAATATTTTCACTCATCTTATGGAAAACAACTTCCCTTCCAAACTTACTGAAGTTGTTTTCCGAAATGCATGCATCCCGCCTGTAGTATGTTCCAAACTTATTGAAAACATCTTATAGTATGTTCTTTTTTTTTTTTTAGTGTAAACAGGATGACTCAAACCCAAGACCTCTTCCTTACACTCCCTCCCCCGTACCACCCAACCCTCTCCCTAGTATATTCAAAATAAAAAAAAAATCTCATCATGTTCATCCTATACTAGTAATTAATTATGTATAATAGGGACATTCTTTTCTAGAGAAACTTTTAGCAGTGAGAGTGCAAGATATATGTCACAATAAGCATTGCATGTGATTGATATTTGACACTAAATGGCCAGCAATTTGTTTATTGCTTAAGAAGATATTTTTTATTCATATATACATTTCTCCAAGATTTTTTAAAGTTAAACAATGAGATAAATTTTCTTATTTTGCATGGGAAGAAGTATGTAGTTATAATGTGTAGAAAGTAAAGATAGAGATAAAAGTGAAAATATTTCAAAAGTTAAACAAACATCAGAAAAATGAAGTAAGAAAATATTTCAATAAGCTAACCAAACACCTGAAAATGATGAAAGGAAAATGATTTTCATGGAAAATTACTTCCACGGAAAATATTTTCCCAAGGAAAACATTTTACTTCCAACCAAACAGACCCTACATGTTTCATCTCTTGAATGGGTACGCTAAGCTTCTCAAGTACAAGCCTGTTGTTCCCGCAAAAGCGGTTCGACTTTGTTTGGAGTCGATGGCGTGCCCCACGGCCGGATTGAAGAAGAAGTATTTGATGGACAGTATGATCAAAGGTCCCTCTGATTCCCCTCCCTGCTCCATGCCTCCTCATGATCCTCAAACCCTTCGTTCAATTTTGGAGACAAAACGGAACACAACAAAACTAGTCGAGGCCTGGGAAAAACAATATTGGGAGACTCAAAAGAAGCATACTTAGTTGCACTTCTTCTTTTTTTTTTTTTTTTTTATTACCTAAACGTATGTTTTTCTTTCTCTCTCTCTCTCTCTCTTTTTTATGCGTATCATGTTATCTTATGTGTTATACGCATTAGGTTTATGCGTATTATGTTTTCTTTCTATCCTTTCATGAAATGTCTATTCTTTCTATCCTTTCTATCACTTTTTCTTTCCCTTTTGTTGTCTAGTTGGATTAATCTGGCCAGTAAAGTTTTTAAACTTGAAACTGGATTCGAGTTAATTATTTTAGATTGCAAATATTGCCCAAAAAATGACATATCATGTGCCATTAATGAAACCAATAATTAGGGAGAAAACACGAAATTACACATATGTAGATATAAACGATATAACCTCCACAAAATAAATAAGAATTATGATTTGCGGATAAAGATTCCATCAAGTATTCATTTTTTTAGCCAAAATAGTTGAATTATCTATTTAATTTAGCATGCTGAGAATGTTTTGATCTAATGATTAAACCAAAGGTTTCAAAATTTAGAGGTTTTAGGTTGTAATCTTCTTTCCCCCGCTCGACTTCTTAAATTATATCCTTTCCTTATTAGGAAATTTTTTTAAAAAAAAATCAGCTTAATTTAAGGCAAATTTCTCATTTCCTTGTAATATATGCACCTCACGTTACAAAATCAAATTCAATTTGTGTTAGAAGTAAATGCATTCTAAACTCAGGGCATGCTACGGGCTCCAATGGGACCTGTTGTACTAATTTATTAGTTACCACTGCAAGAATTTGCGACCAGGTCAACCTTTTAGCCCTAAAGGTTTGGCAAGGGCACCTCCCTATGCTCGGTCCTCACCGACTAACGAGAAGCAGCGGCAACGCGACGCGCGCTGGACCGAATCAGGTCTGGCAAAGTTTGGCAGTTCCCAGTCAAAGAAACTTTCCTCTTACCATTGTTGATGAGTAATTGAGTAATCTTTCATCATTTTCTGAATAAAAAGAAGGAAAAAAAAAAAAAAAAAAAAGAGAAGAGGGTAGCTGATTAAAATTTGTCGCCAGGAGTTTGGTTCAATTGTTTTCAATGAACTAGAATCAAATTCTTCAAATACAAAATGAGTAACTATAACATCTAGAAACTTCAAACTAGCCTCCCCTGACTTTGTTTGCTCTATGATCTGCTTAGCTACGCTTCGTGGCACAATAGCATACCCTACCAAAAATAATAACAATAATTAGAAAAAAAAAAGCATAAGAAAATCAAGAGTGCATCACAAGTTGGCAACTTATAGTGATTTATAAAGCTTTCACGTTTCCATCAACAATTTGATATCAATAGTAGTATTATCTTGTCATGCCCCTTGTCCAACAACTTTGTTAAAATTTTATTCCACGCCTACCACTGGTTTGACCAGAAAAGCTTCATCAGTTTTTCAATTGCTGGTTTGTTTGGGTAGTAGATTATTTGTCAAATTTTATTTGTTTGTATCATCAATATATTTTTCAATCACATTTTTATGTCACATACATTAAATTAGAAAAGTGTTGCAGTGTTTTTTTTTTCAAAAAAAATATCTCAAACAATCTAATATACAAACACAGTACCCTTCTCCAATAAAATTATTTACTTAGTTATATTCTTAGAAAAGTTTCAGTGTCCTCAAAGGAAGCTTTTAGGATCAAAATATTTTTCCTCCTCCTCCAATGGCCAGCTTTCTTTTTCTTCATCCTGACAGAAAGAAGTAGATAGTACTACTGTGTTTGGATTGCATTTTTCTGGATTTTTTGTAGAAAAATTACTGTAGCGATTTAATGTATGTGAGATAAAAAGGTGATAGGAAAATGTGTTCACGGAACGAGAGGGAGAGAGAAGCTTTCGCCTTTAAGGATATATATACTTCGTCAGATTGAAGTTTTAAATTCTAGAGAAACGAGAAGCTTCAGAAAGAAGTGTCAAAGTTGTATATCCTAATGAAAAACCTCAAAATAGGCAAATGCTATACTTGGATTGATAACGACTCCTAATCCAACATCTGATTTGTTCTTGCAATTTGGTGATTGCTGATAAGAAAATTTCCTAGGGGTCCACTCTGAAGTGTGTAACTACATCATGATCTCTTCCATTTCATTTGACATGATAGACAAAAACTGGCGAACTAAACAGCTGAAAGTTTCGATCATAAAATAGTCAATTTTTTTATTAAAAAAAAGAAAAGAAAAGAAAAGAAAATCATCGAGCCAATAAAATATTTCAGGAAAATTTAATGGCTAGTTCATCAAGTTATTGTGAAATTCTACATAGTTAGCCCGCACTTCCAAGCAATGCGAGGTCAACGTGAACAGTACACTTTACACAATATTCATTTGCTCCTCCCTCGTTCACGGCGCATTTGTTTGCTCCATCTTCAGCTCTCTGTTTGTTTAATTAGCAACTCCAAAACCATGCTTTCTGCTCAAGAAACGCTTTGGCCATGTGAAAGCTAAGGCTTTCTGTCTTTGCAATCAAAACAACGACTAGTCGAATTTCTTACTAATAGTTGCCAAGATCAGCTATCGATCAGCTGGTATTGCAATGCTGAATCAGTGCCTTCTTCAAGAGCGGGGCAGAGATGCATCTAGTCAATGCTCTCTAGGCTAGAAGAGGAAGTTGGAGACGCATTTATTTGGCCAATGCAAAGATGAGAGATTCGGCAGCATTACTGCAAGGGATTCTCCAACGTCGCTGCTTATCTTATCTGGCTACATTATTCTTATTCATTCTGTGCATTGCGGCTTTCTTCTCGGCACGCTTGCTCGACTTCAGGGTAATTATCTCTGTATTAACTTAGTACATGATTTTCGCACTTCTGGATCTTTTCATTCTTTTTCTTTTTTCAAGAGAGAAACTGATCCTGCTGGACATTTTAAGCTTTTTCTAATGTTCAGTAAATTAGTCCGAGTTGAATCAGTACAGTACAGCACCAAACGGAAGTCAGATCCTTGCAGCCTCTTCTGGGATAACACACACAGTCTTCCATTTGGGTGGAGAAGGTGGATTGCCAGAAGAAGAAACTTAGCGAAGAAATTCCCAAAATAATTTCGGAATTTACTCTCGTTGTTGCCACTTATTTTTCATTTGCTATGGAATTCTAATCTTTCATGCACCTTTTTTTTTGGTTTTCTGTTGTAAACATTCTCTCGTATATATTTGACTCTCAAATAGAATTTCCGCTTCATTTCTAAAGCGTTTAGGAGCGTCAAGAGTGAGAGAAGGATTGTGGAAGTAAGCATTAGAAATCAAGTATATTCTCGTACAGGTTGCCGCCGACAGAAGAGAAGAAGCGGACATGGCCCTGGCTGGCATTTATTTAAACCATGAGATCGTTCTCAACGAACAGGACATCCCATCCCGCCTTTTGTTGTTATTCATGACCTCGCATTAATAATATTTATTTGACAGAATTGTTATTGTCATAGTCGGCAAAGGTCATAGTACCATACTGACTATTGTAAGTGTAAAAAATTAGTATGAGTTCCCTTGATTTTTTTAGTACCATACTGCACCAAATTAGAATGAGTATTAATGTAAGAATTTGACCCATGAAGGTTCGACTTACAAGCTTTTTTTTGTTTTTTTGGAATTAAACGTATCTTGCAAGTATAAACTGATATTATTACTGCCAAGAAATCCTAGATCGGATGATTCGTTTGTTTATTTCAAGTACCTTTTGGCTTGTGATATCTCTCGTATTTGGTAATTTGAAAATGTGTTTCAGTGGAATGCAGGGAATTACTCTCGAAAATCAATATTCAGTGGCGTCACATTTTCAAAATACCCTCTTCATGATCCATGGACAAAGCCCAGGAGGAATCCGATTGAAATCCCATTGACTTGCGCTGTTACCAACAGCACACGAACTTGCCCAACAACTTACCACCCACCAAATCTTTCAGCACGAGATGAAGACGCGGCCGCTCCCGAGGCCTGCCCAGATTACTTCCGGTGGATCCACGAAGACCTGTCGCCCTGGAGGGAGACTGGAATTTCACTAGACATGGTGGAGGCGGCTAAAAGAAGGGCAGACTTCCGACTGGTTATAGTGAATGGGACGGTTTACGTGGAGACTTATAGAAGGTCGTTTCAGACGAGAGATGTTTTCACGCAGTGGGGAATTTTACAGTTGCTACGGCGGTACCCGGGTAAATTGCCCGACTTGGATCTCGTATTCAGCTGCGCGGACCGGCCGGGTATTGTTAAAGAATGTTATCCCAAATCCAACGCCACCGCCCCACCACCGCTGTTCGGCTACGACGGAGATGATTCGACCGTCGACATTGTTTTCCCGGATTGGTCATTCTGGGGATGGTAAGCATTTCAAGTTTTAAATTATACTACTATTAACTTGGCTAAGAGTCAGAAACACAGCATTGTTTTTGTTTACAGTCTACCGTTTGTATATGTATTGGAACAAATAAATGGCTAGGCCTGAAATTGTTATAAAGCCATGGAAGCAATTGTCCGAGGAGCTAAAAGAAGGGAACCGGCGGATGCGATGGGTGGACAGGGAAGCACACGCATATTGGAAGGGCAACGCTAGACTTACGGCTTCAAGGAGGGATTTACTCAATTGCCATGTCTCGGGCAAGCAAGATTGGAATGCCCGTATCTATTATCAGGTACTGTACTGTATTTAATTATGGTTCTTCAATTCTGGGTAGAGAATGAAAGGTGGGCCTGACGTTTAATTATCTATAAATTTAAAATTTGTTACAAATTTCCTCCATTCGGGGATAAGAAAAGAAAGAAAAGCTAACCACCAATCTGTAGAATCTTGTGTTTCTTGAATACGTGGGCAAAGGACTCAACTCTGATTATTAATATTTACACTGAATCAACAGGACTGGCATCGTGAACAACGACAGGGTTTCAAAAATTCTAACTTAGCTGACCAATGCATTCACAGGTAAGAACAAGTAAATCCTTCGACTAAAACAACAATGCATTCATTTAGTCATTTATTACCATGGTTCGCCGTCGCGAGTCGCGATTGCATCGCGGTCTCGATTGTTCCACATTCGTCGCGACATATCGGTTGATACACACATTATAGTACATAAAAGTTTCCAAAATTTTTGAAAAAATTACTACAATTAGAAAATATCAAAAAATGCACAATTTGAAAAAATATCTAAATCGACTCTGAGTTGACTCGGATATATCGGCCGATATCATGTATCACGGATTCGAATCGGCCAATATCGGCCGAGTCAGAACGAGTTGTCGCAGATATTACCATATCCGCGATTCAGAAATCAGTATCGTACCAATCCCCTCCGTTCCAATTACGACTCGGCCGATACGTATCGGTATCGGCGGATATTGTGAACCATGTTTATTACACTATCTTGTAAGTATGGTTAGGTAAGTAAACTTTGATTTAGTTCCATCCTTGCACGAATGATACAGATTTAAAATCTACATCGAAGGAATTGGGTGGTCCGTAAGCGAAAAGTACATTCTTGCGTGTGACTCTGTTAGTTTAGTGGTCAGGCCACGTTACTACGATTTCTTCACAAGAAGTTTGATACCTCTGCAACACTATTGGCCCATAAGAGAGAATGACAAGTGCAGATCAATTAAGTATGCTGTTCACTGGGGCAATACCCATCAGGAAGAGGTAAATTAGTTGGCCTTCTATTCATTTAAGGCCGCCATTCTTGCTGTGCTGATCATACAATCTGCTAGTCAATTTCTAGGCAACAAGTTTTATCATCCAACTCAAGAGCAAGGTTTTATATCACAGGCACAGGCCATTGGCAAGGCAGCAAGCCATTTTGTACAAGAGGAGCTGCAAATGAAATATGTGTATGATTACATGTTTCACCTCTTGACAGAGTATGCTAAGCTTCTGAAATACAAGCCAAGCGTTCCTCCGAAAGCAATTGAACTTTGTTCCGAGTTAATGGCCTGTCCGGCTGATGGATTGGTGAAGAAATATATGGTGGATTCCGTTGTTACGAGTCCCTCTGAGGCAGCTCCATGCACCATGCCTCCTCCTTACGACCCTCCTACTCTTCATTCAATTTTGGAGAGAAAAGAAGATTTAATAAAGCAGGTAGAGACGTGGGAAAAACAGTATTGGGATACTCAAACCAATCACAATTAATTAGACGGGCCGACATGTTTTTCTTCTTCAGCTGGTTAATTTGTCATCATCAATTTCCCTGCATCTGTCAAAAATTTTATTAAAAAAAAAAAAAAATTCCTGTGCAAACGTGCGCAATACAAAGAGGATTTGCAGAAACCGGTTTTGCCAAAAAAAATGACTGCATCTGCCATTAAGGGCCAACTTAACTTTATATATTTCTATGCGGTTTCCAGGTCCACCCTGCTACTTCCGTTCCATTTGGGATGCTTCCCTTTTACTTTTAGTCATAGTGAGAGATGTTTCCACGGTTCAAATTTTATATCTACAGCTATATATAATATTCTTGTAATAAATGCTCAAACTTGTCCTCCTTATTAAACCAAAATGCAAGTTGGACTTGAAAGGCGTAATTTTATCATTTTAATCAACAACAAACATAGCTGCAGATATGAAATTTCGGCTGTGACATCATTTGCCGTTGCAACGTGGTTTTAATCTTTAATCATATTTTTATTTTTATTTTTTTTGTCAAAATCTTTAATCATTAAGCATATTTGATGGTGGGGCTTTCATGTTTCAATTGTTTTGAAAATGGTGCCCTCTTCTGTTATCCTGCTTTTTAAAAAAATAAATAAATAAATTGTGTGATTTTACTACAATAGGCGTCGGTAGCATGTCAAATATTCAATAGAAACACCGGGATGAGCGTAAAAATTACTCCCTCCGTCTCACTTTGATAGTCCTGTATTCCTTTTTGATATATATATATATATATATATATATATATATATATATATATATATATATATATTTATTATTACCCTGCTAAATCAAATATCAAAAATCGATTTCTTTGAGGTTATTAATTAAAGGACTTATCTACCTATAGAGGCGCTGCAGAATGTCAAACGTGTGTTTTCAATAAGAGTGGCAGAAAGAAATACTACATATTTTGTATGCCTTCTCTACCTAATGCCGTCATGATTTCGGTATGCCTTCTCTACCTGATGCTGCCCGATGAGTTTGTTCATAATTCCATCCTAATAAAGAATCTCGTCGCTTTATAGAGTATTATTTTGATCGTGCTGTGCTGTTCCCCAATTTTGTACGTACTAAGTTTATTCGTATATCTAAAACTACAAGAGCGATCTGCCTAACGAGTGTCCATAAGATATATTTTTTAAAAAATAATGTTAATTTGAAAAAATATGTATATATATATACATATAAATGCAAAGATACTGTGATACTTGTTAGTGTATGAATTTTTATGGTAATACTTGTTCCTCCTAAACGACCTTTTCCCTTACTTTCTCTCTAGTTCTAGTTGCCGTTTTCATCCCTTATCAAACGGCCACAACTCAATTCCTTCCATCTTAATTTCTCTACCGTCTTAATTATTATTTAAATAAAATCAGTCAATAAGACACCGTCTTCCTCTATTAATTTCTTACTCTTACCAAATAGAATCAGATTTTTTTCTTTCTATGACTGTCGTCGTTATCTCTCTCCTCCTCCATAAATTTCTCAATGGACGCAGTTTTTTCCTTGTGTGGAAATTGTATGCATCCCCTCCTCCTCCTCCCCTAGTTTCTCAATAGACCCAGGGTGTTTTCTTTATTGTAAACAGTTTATAGCTCTCCTCGATCCAAGGCTTCGTCCCAACTCTCTTGTGTCTGTCACTGCTTAAAGTTAAAAAGCATCTCGCCATGCGAAGCAGTTGACAGCATATGGTGTTATACGTACCCCCACCAAATATTATGGACCTGCAGGTTATCAGGTTCACATACATCAAAGCGGTGTAAAGCAAAGGTAAACCAGTTCATTCGGTAGTGAGCAAGTTATACTTGGTTGCGGAGATATACGTAATAAATCCAACAAGGACGAAAGAAGAAAGTGAAGATGAGAGAGGAAGTTGCCGGCCGGATGCAGGGTATTCTCAAGGGATTAGGGGTATACAGGTACTGCACGGAGAAGATATTACTTCCATGGAAATCCGAAGTTACTCTGGTGAGATCTTCGTTGGCCATGCTGTTTTTAATCATTCTCTGCATTACCGCATTCCTCTCTACGCGTTTGATCGATTCTTCGGTGAGTGCCTAAACTTCTTTCTCACTTTTACGGCTTATACTCTTTGATCTCTTTCTGTCTTGCCCTCCTCTCACACCTGACACCACTCTCCCATATTTTCTTGACTTGAAGGAACCCAAAAAAAAAAAAAAAATTAACGTGTGTTTTTTTTGGCTAATTGAACGTTTACAAGTTACAACAAGATTACATTTTAGTCAATAATATTGACTATAATATACATGCAGTCAGTTTACAATTACAATTATTGTCAATATTGAGATTATGATCTACAACTACGTATAAGGGAAAGAAAATCTACTACATGCGTATCCTTTTAAAATCGTTAATCAAGTCTTCCACCAATGGCTCATAATTAAACCGTACTTTATTTCATTTTCTAAGACTTTTAAACGATTTATATCTAATTCGAAAAATTAAGAATCTAAATATAAGAGACAACATATATGAGTATGCGGATTTACCTAATAACTTAAGTTATATATACAAAAAGAGTTGTTATAGGAGTTGTGGTGTAACACCACAGTATCTTGGAGTTGATTTATGCCTTAACTATACTCTTGTACAGATGCTTTTGGGGATTTATATTGACTGAAGTTCATTGTATCTTAAATTATTGGATGCCTTTATTCACTTCTTGACTTTTTATTCAGGTTATTCCTTATTTTAAGAAATAACTACATCTAAACCACACAGGGTTTTTCTAACAGGTGGGTGCCGTTAGGGCACTCGTTAATACACCTAGTATTCAACTAACTTATCATATATATACACATTCTATAATTATTATTTTCTCTTGTATTTATATACTTTTCATATTTAATCTTGTCTACCCTGTCTTGTATTTATTTATTTTCTCTAATTAATCATATATTTTCAAAAAATATAACACCTAAAAGATATCTTAACGAGTGCTCTATATATGGACGCTCGTCGGACAAACCGTATACAATAACTATAAGTAGAAAATAAGGCAAAACCCATAACGGGTATGTAATTGATTGAAAATAATGGCCTCAATTTTCTTACCATTGATGAATATTTGTTTTTCTGTTTCCTTTTGCTATATCCACTCCCTTTTTTTTCTTTTTTTTTTGTGCCACTAAAATTTGAATGACATTTGCCACAACTCCAAAGGAACTGTCTGTGGAAGTTCATTCTTTTTTTTTTTATTTTTATTATTATTGAATAGACAAGAGCATTCAAAATAATGAGCGACATTTGTCAGTTGTCACAACTACAAACAGAACTGTAGGAGGACTTTATCATCCCTGTGAATTAAATACTGAAATCATTCAATATATGGAGAAATATATTTTACTTTTGGCATCTTGGTAATTTGAAAATCAATCAATATATCAATTTAATGAGTAAAAATAGGATATAACCAACTTAGACATACAAGAATCACTTATTATTAGGTGATTCTTAAGTGTTTAACTTGGTGAGAAAATTCCATAAAATTATGTGGCATGCACATATAGCCACTAATATCTACTTTTTGTTAAAACGCCAATAATATATACACATTTTGGATACCAAAATTATCCCAAATAATATTTCGCTTGCATCACAAACACATTTTCCAACCTACTTTTTTATATTCCCAACTATTTTTTATCTCACATACATCACATCACAAAAAGTGCTACAGTAATTATTCCAAATAATATTTCAAATAATACACTATCCAAACAAACCCTTATCACTAGTATATGCATAATCAATATATACAAAATTAACTCATATAATTAATAATAGACAACATTATCCAAGAGTTGCAAATAGTACTGAAAAAGATAGCAATCGAGGATCTTTCCATTGATATGTCTTTGACAAATGAGTTTTGTACCTTAATGAAAATTTCCACAATGACATAACATCATTCAAAGAAAGAAAAAAGATTGGAAGTAAATGCGAGAAGGGAGTCTTTGGTCAATCGCTCATAGCTTTTGAAAAACGGTGCCCTGTACCTTTCCTTGTGTCTTATCCTTTTAATCTATTCTCCACACGCTACCTTTAAGATTTTGATTGATTGGTACTGACTTTTACATTACATTCAATATTATATTCTGCAGTCAATTGCTGGAAATTTCCAGCAGAAATCAATACTCCCCCGCATACCATTTTACAAATACACTCATCCCGCGGGGAAAAAGTTGCACAGGAATAGAACCGAATTCCGCCTGAATTGCTCGCTTGCTAACGTTACAAAAACTTGCCCAACAAATTACTACCCATCAAAATACTCATCACAAGATTTTTACGAGAAGTCAGAAGCAGTGGCCCAGCAACCCCAATGCCCAGAATACTTCCGTTGGATACACGAAGATTTATTGCCTTGGAGAAAGACGGGAATCACGCCGGAGATGGTTGAGGCAGCCAAGGATAAGAATGCTGCTTTCCGGTTGGTGATAGTGAATGGCACGGCTTATGTCGAAACGTATAAGCATTCGTTTCAGACTAGAGACATCTTTACCCAGTGGGGGATTTTACAGTTGCTGCGGCGGCACCCTGGCCGACTGCCTGATTTGGACCTCATATTCACCTGCGGTGATCGCCCCAATATTGTGCGAGAATATTACCCCAGTGCCAATGCTAAGGCACCGCCACCTTTATTCAGTTATGACGGGGATGATGCCACCTTCGACATTGTCTTTCCAGATTGGTCGTTCTGGGGATGGTAAGCATTTCCTCCACTTTTTAGTAATCTTAACTAATGGTGTTAAGGTAGCATGTACTGGATATGTACTGTGATTCGTCAGTCGCGACAGAAACAGAAATCCAAATGAATCATTCTTCTGGTCTCTCTTCGGCTCCCCGCCCCGAAACTGACCCAAAAGTGTAGCCGCTGCTTCTGATTTTGTTTCCCAAGTATGGCGAGTCGATTACTTAACGCAATTGAGAGTTGGAATATATCTCTAAATCTCTTGATTACCTATAAATCTAGCATGTTGCAACTACATGCGGTGAATTTTTCATTAAGGACTTCACATCCTTAGAAGTGCTCTAAAGAGAGCAGATTTAATGCTTATTTAAATTGATACGAACCTTTCCTTTTTATTGATACTGGTAAAAACTTTCAATGTTTCAGGCCAGAAATTAATATAAAGCCATGGGAACCATTGTCCAAGGACCTAAAAGAAGCGAATGAAAGAAGAAAATGGATGGACAGAGAACCGTTGGCATTTTGGAAGGGCAATCCTCATGTTTCACCAAAGAGGATGGATTTGCTCAGGTGCAATCTTTCGGATGAACACGACTGGAATCTGCGCATTTATGCTCAGGTAATAGATACTGCATATATTGTGTATC